AGGTTGCCAGTGGTAGAGCCCACAGCTTGCAGGGCAGCAGAACCCGCAGGGTGAGGGTTGGGAGGCTGGCGGAGCTCCCAGATCCTGTGTAGGCTGGCAGAGCTCATGGGGCAGCAGAGCTGGGCAGAGGAGCCCAGTGGAGAGGTTGGCGCCCCTGTCCCAGACTTCCCCTGGTTCAGCAAACTCCCTTGTTCAGGACCAGTCAGGAAGACCCAAAGAGGGCAGATACATAGTTCTTGTAGTTAGACATTCAATAGTTATTGAGTATATTAGTGTTAAATTTCTGTTACAGTGGTCTTCCCCATTTTTTTTCTACCTCTGGGGCATGCTGTGGCTGCCAGCATTCAAGACTTGCAAGGACTACGTGAAGTGCATGCCAGAAAGCAACCCCCTCACATCCTGCCTCAGGTGTCTGGGTGAAGGTCACCAGAAAGATTTATCAAGAATTGTGACCAAAGACTCTACAAAAGCATGAACAGTGGGTGAAAATCCTCCTCTTAAAGATTGTACTCCAACCTCAGTCAAACCCCAGTGCTGTAGTACCTGACATTAGCACTTCTTCCTCAGTGTATAGCTCCAGTGCCCCCTTCAACGGACCAGGTGCCAAAAAAAGATGTGACCAGTGAGCCTTGGCACCATCACTGCATGTCACAGGAACATTCTACTCTTTGGTACCATTTGCAGTCACTGGTGCAGAAGAGGAGGGTCAAGAGGAGCTGGTCTCCTGCCCATAGACCTTAAGTTCAGCCACTGCTGTCAGTCAGGCCACGGCATGGAGACACACAGTGTGGCTATGTTGACTGCTGACAGGGAGGCTGGTTAAGTCCAGGCCAGACATGCTCCCTAGTGGCGCCTGAGACCTGTTGCTACTGTGAATGCAAGAGGCATTCTAAGCGGCCCAGGACACCTTCGCCCTCATGGCTCCATTTTCGTCACCCAGGAGCAAGACAGCACTAACACCTCTAGTGCCCTGCCTGATCCTCTCCTTGGGGATGTCATGCTGCTCCCCTTCACCTCAGCATCCATGGCCTTGATCTCCAGGCATAGGAGCAGATCACCAGACTCCCAACTTTCGACATCCAGGGGTTCAGTTCTGCCCTGGTTTTCATACTCTGAGGCTTTGGAGTCAGACTCCTGCTGTTCAGAGCACAACCAGAGTAGAGTCATCACTCTTACTCCAGGTGTCAGAGATTCCAACCAGAACGCTGGCTGCCGCAGTGGCAGAATCCTGCCCTTTTGTGCCCCATGGACAGAATCTTGTTCTTTGTAGGTGGTGTTCATGTCATTCATCTTGCTGAACCAACAGATGCTTTCTGCATCATTAGTAGCACCAGTGCCCTCAATTCTGATGTTAAAACCAATGCCTGCACCAGTCCCACTTTCGTTGTCAGTGCCGAAGCCATTAACTGTCCAAAACTCCAATTCCGGCTCCTTCACTGGCATCCCCCACCTACCTAGATGCAGAAACCTGAAAACACAGGATTCTAAAAAACTCTGAAAAAAGCTGTAGACCCAGGACAGAGTAAAGGTCCCTCTTTCTGGAACCTTTTCTGGGTCGAGGGCCACTGGCTCTCAGAAAAATAAATCAGGAGAAGCAAAAAAAAAAAAAAAAAACCCACACATGCCGAGCTCACTGACCTGACCCCCAAATGAGAAGCACAGAAAGAAATAAAAAAATATATTCTGCTCCTCCTCACTTAACATGCTCATGGCTTGGAGTCTTGACCTGGGGCTGGAGCATGAATGCCAGCTCACCCTGCTGTGGCCGGAAGCCCCAAGCCTTGGTGGGGGCTGGAACAAAGTAAGCCAGCAGCTGGATCTAGCCTGCAGAAGCAGGTTCCCCTCCTGTGAAAAATTTTACCTAAGATAAGATCAACTGCTTAGGATAAGAATTTACATATAACAAGTTTCTTAGTATATTAGAATTAGCTGGTGTCTGTTTTTAAACTTAGTAACTTACTTTGATCTGTCTGTTTCAATTGCAATAACTTAAATCCTATGTTTATACTTAATAAAAACACTTTAATTATTTAATTGCTATGTGGGGAGGAGCAACCACTGTGCATCTCTTTCATTGATAAAGGGGTTGAACTTATGAGCTTTCTCTGTGTAAAACTTTTACACAGGGTGAAATGGATTTATTTGGTATTTTGATGATCTCTCAAGTGAAAAAAGCAGGTGATCTCTCAAGTGTCCCTACAGGCAGCCCTTGATTCAGCAGATGATGCAACTCAGGTGACCATGAGAAGAGGGTCATGGCTTAAGGTGTTGGGACCAACAGACTATTCAGGACCTGCCCTGTGAAGGCATGTCTACACAGCAGCATTATTTCGGAATAATGTCAGTTATTCCAAAATAGCGTAGTGTACATCTACCCACCAAGCCCGTTATTTCAAAATAAAGTCAAAATAGTGGGCTTCTTACTCTGACTTCTATAAACCTCATTGTAATTTTTGAAGTTTTTGAAATAAATGCTGTGTAGACTTGCCCAAAGTCAAAATAAGCTATTTCAACTTAAGCTATGCAATTGATGTAGCTCAAATTGTGTAGCTTATTTCGAGTTTAGCCCTACTGTGTAGACATGTCCTGAGGGATTGAACCTCTTCTATGAGAAGACATAAGAGGTTAAATAGCCTCAAGGACTCCAGGGCCACCCTAAGGTCCTTAGGCCTTTACACATCTTCCACTCGAAGTAGACCGTGATTTTAGCTATAGAACCAAATCTTTCTTAGAGATTTTGGCTACAGAACCACCCATACAACACCAGAAGGCATAATAGAAGTGGCAGAAGGAGACTGTGCCAGTTCTCTGGCCAAAATGAAGGGCAGCTAAAATCCTCGTTGACATGTAGCCCAGCCTGGTCTCTGAACATTATCTTTTTGTCCTGACTATCCCCTTCCTATTCTTATTCTATCCCTTATCACCTCTAGGGATGTGAACACATAGCCGTTTACATGGTTAATGGATGAGCCTGGACTCACCAGTTAATACTAATGGATACAGATAGATAGCCTCACTCCTGCTGCCACTATATCAGAGGCTGTGAGGAGCAGGCAGGAGCCGGGATATGTGTGGAGCTAGCTCCCATGGAGCTGTCTCCTCTCGTCCCCCCACCACACTGCTGCTCCCACCTGCTCTCCTGCATGTAAATGGGTGACCATTGAAATTTACAGCAGTTACATGTTTACAAAATTAAACACATTTTAACATCCATATTCACCTCAAACCAGTGGGTGCTTCACACAGTAGAAAGGGGATATTCCCTTCAGTTCTGTGTCCTTCTGCCCTTCCACCCCCTTTTTCTGTCTCTCTTTAGGGACCCTTCTCTTCCAGGAGATGCAGTTGCTTCTAGCCATAGAGCATTGAAGGAGGTTCCTTAGGAAATATTTCAGAAGCACTTCAAGTTTAAGTGGACTTCTCTCAGACTATGGCTATACCAGGCTGTAACAGGTTCAGTCCTGTCTGTGAGTGCCCCTTAATGGCTGAAAGGGGTCTCACAATAATTATCTCGCCTGCTTGCAGGTGAAGCACAGTCCAGTCCGTGGCTGAGGTTCAGGCCTCCTCTTTACCCCCTCATTTGGGTGTAGTTTGTAAGGGTTTGGGGGGGGACCCAGGACTGCCCACTCCTCTGGGTCCCAGCCCAGGGACCCTATATGTAGCAGTTACCTGCCAGGTTTCAGAGTCTGTAATTCTGTTCGTGTCCCCGGGCAACTTCTCCAGGATGCCATTTCATCCAGCCCTTCTCTAGGTCCTAGTTGCAAAGTTTCCCTTGTTCCAGGATTCCTCAGAGTTGCTGCTGGCTAGCCAAAGGATCTAGCTCCGCTTAGATACTCAGAGCTGTCCAAAGGGCTGGTGTTCCCAGTCAGCCCAGAGGTCTGCCTGAGTTGAGCTCCAGGTTGGAACTGATAGGCCTTAACTAGCAGCTCCTTATATAGCAGCCTGCAGCATCCTGGTTGGCTGCAGTGGAGGCTGCCCCTCTACCCTGCTCGGAGCACCTTTCCGCTGCTTCTGCTGCTGGCCAGGGTGCTGAAACGCCTCTAGCAGGAAGTTCAGGCTTTATGCACCCCATCACACAGGCTCTGTCTGGACAGTACAGCCAATACTAACCACTAGCTGTTGATGAGTAGAACTTTCTAATCTAAAACTTTGGTGACAAAAGTAAAGGTAGTGTTGCATATGATTAGAAACTTTAATTTGTATGTTTTGTATATATTTACACAGTCCACATGGGCCCACATTTGAATTCCACAGCCATAGAATCCAAAAGTTACTGCAGAATTCCAGAATCTAATCATTCATTGCATATTGCTTGCTTTGTCTATAAAGATTCAGGGTATCAGAGCAAAAGCAAAAGGAACCCTTCCAAATGTGAATAGTGTACCATTGATATTGGCATTAATAACTCTGAAGGGAGATCTAAATTGCCCTATTGAACCTTAACAACAGTTAATCCATGATTCATGCAGTTATATACTTACTCCTAGCATGAACCCTTGTATTCATAGAATTCATTACATTTTTTTTAAACAATACATTTGTTTTACATTGCAGTGGGTTAAATCTTAAATATTTCCTTGCTTCCAACTTTGTTTTTGGATTGTGTGATTATCTTGTAGCTGAACGGATAGCTGCCTCCCATAAATTAAGATCAGCTAGCCTTTCTAGTTACAGTAACACTAACCTCTAGTTACTGGTAGTGAGGTTCTGGATGAAGAGATCTCTTTTGGGGGATCGTGAGGCAGATTGGGGCCTTAAGATGGGCACACCCTCTAAAAATAAGCTAAACTACTTACGAAGCTAATACTGTACCAGCAGTCAACTTGCTATATTTACTGAGCAAAGAAATATTTAAGTTCCTTAATTTTTCCTTTGGTTTTCATTACACTTTATTTCCCATATTTTGGATCAGTTGCCAGTCAGAGAAAATTGTACTTGGTCTAAATGCCTTTGCCTAACATCTTCAAGGATACATTCAAGTGCTGATGCTATGATTTTATTAGGAGAGGAATTGCTCTCGCCTCCCTTGGTGGACCCATTTATGCCATAGGAGGGTTAGATGACAACACTTGCTTCAGTGATGTGGAGAGATATGACATTGAATCTGATCAATGGAGTGGAGTAGCATCAATGAATACGCCCAGAGGAGGAGTTGGTTCAGTTGCCCTTGTGGTAAGTTAATGCTTCCTTCTGAGTCAGCATTGAAATAATGTCCTGACTTTTCATGAGGTGGCACTGTACAAGTACAAGGGACTCTCTTTAAAATAAGGCTTTAAATTACTATATAATTTCTGCAAAAGTTCAGGGTGTTCATCATTTGTGTTCCAACCAAACTCCAGAATGTTTGTCGTAACATTCGAATAAGTAGTGTATTGATCCTGAGTCTATGATCAGTAGGCTGGCATGCTCAAAACCAACTTTTAATTATGGCCAAATTAAAAGAGAAAAGCCACGGTTATGAATATCACCCGAGGGGGAGAAGAGAAGAAGCCCGGGGTGACTAACCACTCTGTGGCTGAGCCAGAACCAGAGCAGCATGTTTCGTAGCGGATCCCCGCTGACCCAGCAGCAGATGGTTCGGCTGCTACTACGGCCCTGGGCTCGGACGTGTTGGAGTGTGTGGGCCCGCGTCCCCTTGCCACTCCACCACCTCGGCTGTTACTCCACAGCAGCCTGCACCTGCCAGACCCCTGCTTGAGCAAGGGGACCCAGCTGGGTGCGCTTACCATATCTTTTGAACTGTTTGTTTTGCTGCCACACCCTGAGCCTGGGCCTGGCTTTCAAACTGTATTTACCTACTGCCACACCCTGATCAAGGGCTTGCCTTTTGGGACTCTTTGTTTGCTGTCCTGCCCCAAACTGAGGCTTGGGCCTCTGGACTTTTTGCTTGTTGCCCTGCCCTGAACTGAGGCTTGGGGCTCAGAACTGTGTACCTGTTTGCCACCCGCCCTGAGTAGCGGCGTTGGCTCTGGACTGTTCATTGACTTGCCAGCAGTCCTGAAGAGCTGAACGCCAAGACTGATTTCCCAAGAGACTAAGCAGGGGGTAATGGGGTGGAGTGGCCACCCACTGACCCCCAAGGGGGACGCATCCCTCTCAAAGCCCTACAGGCTTACAGTACCAAATAGGATTTGTCAGTCAATCAGCTGCAGATACATAAAAGAACCAGCATAAATGTACAAAGCATTGGAAAAAGCTGGTCTACTATAATTTCATAACATTTCCAAAATACTTCACACTTTATATAAACATTGAAATAATTTTACTCACTAATGAAAGTTAGCCTGCAGTATGGCATCTTTATTTACAGTATATGCAAACAGTTGAAGACAGGCAATAAACACTGTTTCCAATTAAGACAGCAAGTGGATTTAGGTAGGCAAAATGTATCACTAAATGAATGATACAGTGTGATACTTAGTAAAGGGTATGTAAATTTTTTTTTACTGTTTTTAAAGTCCAAAATAACCCTCATCATCAAATTTTAAAAAACGCATGCGGCACTCATAACAAATCAATGTGTTCACATGGACAAATTTCAGTCTTCTAAGGATTACATAGAAAAATAGTAGAGAGATACATTTGTGAAATAGATATACTAGGCTGTATTTTTAACTTTTTGGTCATGATAGTAATACAAGCATTCTACGCAGTACAATTATCTGATCCCTGACAGCCATTCCAGGAGCAGCATATATTCCTATACAATCACTGTTCATTTAGAAAAAAAAAAAAAAAAAAAAGCCCTGAAAAGGACCTGGGTGATACAGTGTGGTGAAGAATTTTGCTACAAAAATTCTGTTGACTTTTCATATAAAAGACTAGCTCTATGCACAAAACTTCTCTGCTTAATCTCCCTTTAGAACTATGTATATGCTGTTGGTGGCAATGATGGTGTAGCCTCTCTCTCTAGTGTAGAGAGATATGATCCCCATCTGGATAAGTGGATAGAAGTGAAAGAGATGGGTCAACGAAGAGCTGGCAATGGGGTTAGTGAACTCCGTGGTTGCTTATATGTTGTAGGTGAGTAGGAGTATTTCTTCCTAGTTGATCTCTAACTTTGTCCTATACCAATGTAGATTTTCAGTGAAGCTTTTTTGGGGGGAAGCGGGGCGAATGCTGTTCTGATGTGGTAAGTTTAAAAATGTGCATTCAGGAGATCATCAAGTCTAGCCTACCCAAAGCAGGATCAACCTCAACTAAATCATCCCAGCCAAGGCTTTGTCAAGCCAGGATTTAAAAACCTCCAGGGAGGGAGATTCTGCCATCTCCCTAGGTAACCCATTCCAGTACTTCACCACCCTCCTAGTTTTTCCCAAATCCAACCTAGACCTCCCCCACTGCAATTTGAGACCATTGTTCCTTGTTCTGTCATCTGTCGCCGCTGAAAACAGCCTCTCTCCATCCTCTTTGCAATTCCCCTGCAGGTAGTTGAAGGCTGCCATCAAACCCCCTTCAGTCTTCTCTTCTGGAGGCTAAAGAAGACCAAATCCCTCTGCCTTTCCTCATAAATCATATGTTCCAACCACCAAATCATTTGGTTGCCCTCTGGTGGACCCTTTCCAATGTGTCCACATTTTTCCTATAATGCGGGGCCCAGAACTGGCCATAATACTCCAGATGTGGCCTCACCAGTGCCGAATAAGGGGGAAGAATCAATTATCTAGATCTGCTGGCAATTCTCCTCCTAATGCATCCTAATATGCTGTCAGTCTTCTTGGCTACAAGGGCACACTGTTGACTCCTATCCAGATTCTCATCCACTGTAATTCCCAGGTCCTTGTCTGCTGAATTGCTGTCAGTCGCCAGCCTGGAGTAGTGCTTTAGATTCTTCTGTCCCAAGTGGAGGACTCTGCATGTGTCCTTATCAGATTTCTTTTGACTCAATCCTCCAATCTGTTTAGGTCACTCTGGACCCTATCCTTACTCTCCAATGTATCTATCTCCCCCCCCAGCTTAGTGTCATCCGCAGACTTGCTGTGGGTGCAAGCCATCCCTTCATCCAGGTCATTAATAAAGATGTTGAACATATATTTTTATTTCAGAAGGTTGAGAAAGCTACCGGGGGGAAGCTGTTCTAGATTTGATTATAACAAATAGGGAGGAACTGGTTGAGAATTTGAAAGTGGAAGGCAGCTTGGGTGAAAGTGATCATGAAATCATAGAATTCATGATTCTATGGAATGGTAGAAGGGAGAACAGCAAAATAAAGATAATGGATTTCAGGAAGGCAGATTTTAGTAAACTCAGAGAGCTGGTAGGTAAGATCCCATGGGAAGCAAGACTAAGAGGAAAAACAGCTGAAGAGAGTTGGTAGTTTTTCAAAGGGACATTATTAAGGACCCAAAAGCAAACTATTCTCTTGTGTAGGAAAGATAGAAAGTAAGGCAAAAGATTATCATGGCTTAACCAGGTGATCTTTCATGATCTAAAAATAGAAAAGTGGAAACTAGCTCAAATTACAAAGTAAACAATACAGGTATGCAGGAGCAAGATTAAAAAGGCAAAGGCACAAAGTCAGCTCAAACTAGCAAGAGACATGAAGACTAACAAGAATACATTATATAAGTATATTAGAAGCAAGAGGAAGACCAAGGAAAGGCAGGCCCATTGTTCAGTGAACAGGGAGAAACAATAACAGGAAACTTGGAAATAGCAGAGATGCTTAATGATTTTTCTATCAGTCTTCCCCAAGAAGTCTGATGATGAAGGAATGCCTAACATAGTGAATGCTAGGGGAAATGGAGTAGATTTAGAAGATAAAATTTAAAAAAACAAGTTAAAAATTACTTAGAAAAGTTAGATGTCACCAAGTCTCCCGATGAAATGCATTCTAGAATACTCAAGGAGCTGATAAAGGAGATATCTGAGTCTTTAGCTATCATGTTTGAAAAATCATGGAAGACAGGAGAGATTCCAGAAGACTGGAAAAGGGCAAATATAGTGTGCATCTATAAAAAGGGAAATAAGAACAACCCAGGAAACTACAGACCAGTTTAACTTCTATGCCAGGGAAGATAATGTAGCAACTAAGTAAGGAAGTGATCTGCAAACATCTGGATGAAATTAAGGTGATAGGTAACAGCCAGCATGGATTTGTAAAGAACAATCAAGTCAAACCAATCTGATAGCTTTCTTTGATAGACTAACAAGTCTTGTGGATAAGGAAGAAGTGGTGGACATGGTTTACCTAGACTTTAGTAAGGCATTTGATATAGTCTCACATGATCTTCTTATCAATAAACTAGGCAAATACACCTAAGATGGGTGCATAACTGGCTGGCTAACTGTTCTCAGAGAGTAGTTATTAACAGTTCACAATCCTGATCGAAAGGTATAACAAATGGTGTTTCGCAGCAGTCTGTTTTGAAGAGAATAGAATTATTAAGTTTGCAGATGATACCAAGCTGGGAAGGATTGCAACTGCTTTGAAGCATAATTCAAAATGATCTGGACAAACTGGAGAAATGGTCTGAGGTAAATAGGATGAAAGATATAAGGTAAATAAGAACATATGCAAAGTACTCAGGAAAGAACAATCACTTTCACACATACAGAATGGGAAGCGACTATCTAGGAAGGAGTACTGCAGAAAGGGATCTAAGCATCAATAGTGGACCACAAGCTAAATATGAGCCAACAGTGTGACACTGTTGCAAAAAAAGCAAATATGATTCTGGAATGCATTAACAGGAGTGTTGTGAGCAAGTCACGAGAAATCATTTTTTTGCTCTACTCTGCACTGATTAGGCCTCAATTGGAGTATTGTGTCCAGTTCTGGGCACCACATTTCAAAGAAGATGTAGAAAATTGGAAAAGGTCTAGAGAAGAACAACAAAAATGATTAAAGTTCTAGAGAACATGACCTATGAAGGAAGACTAAAAGAATTGGGCTTGTTTAGTTTGGAAAAGAGAAGACCGAGAGGGGACATGATAACGGTTTTCAGGTATGTAAAAGGATTTCACAAGGAGAAGGGAGAAAAATTGTTCTTCCTAGCCTCTGAGGATAGAACAAGAAGCAATGGGCTTAAACTGCAGCAAGGGAGGCTTAGTTTGGACATTAGGAAAAACTTCCGAACTGTCAGGGTGGTTAAACACTGGAATAAATTGCCTAGGGAGGTTGTAGAATCTCCATTTCTGGAGATATTTAAGAGCAAGTTAGACAGACATCTATCAGGGATGGTCTAGACCCGTGGTCACCAACCCATCGATCGCAATCGGCTGGTCGATCTGGAGGGCTCGACCAGTCGATCGTGAGAAGTTCAGGGCCCTCCCAATTCCCCCCATCCCCAAGAAGCCCCACTACCTACCTCGAAAATGGAGGTAGTGCTGACTTCCCGCGGGGTAGAGGGAAGTCTGGCAGCTGTGCCCCACTTCTGGTGTTTCTGAAAGTGCACTGCCTGCTCCCCTCCTCCAGGTCTGTGGCGTGCTGGGAGGAGGTAGGAGTCCAGGTGGAAGGGGAAAATTAACTCTTGTGCATACCTTGGTATGTTATTGGCATGCCTATTCAATAACTTTTACCTAGGTTTATAACCAGTTACTACTGCATTTGTCTCTAAACCACTAGACACAACGTACTAAACACTGTCAGTCAGTCACTATGACAACTGACCACATTTGGTCATTGCCAAAAGCGTAGGCCAGACACGGTGGTCTTCTTCTAACTCCGTGGTCACCAACCCGTCGATCAGGAGAACTCAACCAGTCGATCGCAAGGGCGTTCAGCCCCCTACAATTCCCCCCAACCCCAAGAAGCCCCGCTAATTACCTCCAGCGACAATGGAGGTAGTGCCAGCTTCCCGCGGGGTGGACGGAAGTCCGGCAGTGGCACACCATTTCTGGGGTTTCTGGAAGTGCACTGCCTGCTCCCCTCCCTCCAGGTCTGTGGCACACCGGGGACTTGCTGCGTGGGGGGGAAGAGGTAGGAGTCCTGGGGGAAGATGCGCACTGGGACTTTCCTCCTTTGCAGGGGAGGGAGGAGGAGTCCCGGGAGGAGGCTCTTGCCGGAGCTTCCCCCCTCTGGGGCGGGGGAGGAGAAGGCGCGTGCCGAAGATTCCCTGCCCCCACCAACACCCTGCCCCCTGTTCCCACTGGCACTCTGCTCCCACTGGCACCCTGGCCTCTGGCCCCGCCGGCACCCTGTCCCCACCCCAGCTCCCTGTCCCTTGCCTCCCCTGACACCCAGTCCTCTGTCCCCTGCCCCAGCACCCATTGGCAATCTGCCCCAGCACCCTGTCCCCTGCCCTGGCACCCATTGGCACCCTACCTGGCACCCTGTCCCCTGTCACAGTACCCCCTGGCACCCTTCCCCAATACCATGTCCCCTGCTCCCACCTGCACAGTTGGGTCCACATTAGTGAGGCTTGTGGGGGTTTTGGAGGAGTTTTTATTTTGCATCTCACTTGTGTGGCCCCAACTGACTTTTCTGTAGGTCAGTGACCCCTGACTCAAAACAGGTTCCCTGCCTTTCTCAGAAATAAAGACAATACAGAAGCTTTTTGTTTGATATAGTATTTCATTTAAAAACTAGCCAATTAGCCCATCATAAGACGGAATTTTCAGGTCTCTCCTCCACGTCAGTCTTCTCTCCTGAGCCTCCGGTCTCTCTCTCTGTCTCCCCCTCTCTCTCAGCTCTCCTCCGCCTCCTGCCTCTCTCTCTGTCTCTCTCTTTCACTTCTCCTCCCCCTCCTGCCTCTCACTCGGGGGACTGCGGAGCCCAAACGGCCGTTTGGGCTCCGCACTCCCCGTGCTGCATGGGGAGCGCGGAGCCCAAATGGTTGCTTGCTCCACTTGCTTCCACTTGGCGACCTGGCTGAGCGGTACAGAAGTCAGTCGAGCGCCATGGTGGGAGGCGAAGGGGGGCGGGGCAGTGACGTTCATGGCCAGGGGACGGGGCCTGGAGACGCTGTCATGCCGCACGTCACTTCTGTGCTGCTCAGCCGGGCCGCAGCAGGGGAGCAAGCAGCCGTTTGGGACCCGCACTCCCCAGGCAGCACAGGCCTCCCAGAGGGAACAGCCAGCATTTCGGTGTTACAGAGTCTCAGACACTGGGCTACTATATATATATATGATGAAGCCTGGCCAACAAACCCTCAGTTGGGGCCAAGCCCCCATCTGCCCACAGCATCATAACACTGCTGCACTCCCCCTTTCCCCAGACCCTTGATCTGAATCTATCATACAATGGAACCACCTGCCCTGAGCCCCTCACATACCTCAACCCAAATTCCTGCCCCCTCATATCCACAAGCCTGTGGCTTGCTTAGTACCCTAACCCTACATCTGACCCCAACACTGCCTGGCCTGAAGCCCCCTCCCTGACTCAGCATCCCCTTCTCCACCTCCTCCTGCATCCAGATTTCCTCCCAGAGCTTGCATCTCTCACCCCTTCCTACACCCAAATTCCTCATTCCCACCCCAGAGCCCACACATCCTGCCTCAACCCAGCGAGGGTAAGGTTAGACTGCAGGAGTTTTTCAGAATTCCGGAGATATCCCAGAAAAGCTCTTCTGCATCCAGGGGTGCATTTGTTCTTCCGCTTTTTTTAGTAGAAGAGCAAACGTGCTCTTTCAGTAACCCCTATATTCCTCCTTCCACGAGGAATATGGAGGCTTCCAAAAGAAGGGGTTTTTCTGACATTTGGTCCAGTCTAGACAGGCCAAATGTTGGAAAAACCTCTTCCTACAGAAGAATTGGGGAAAAAAAGCAGCAGTATAAGGGTTGGGGATAGCAAGTGATGGAGAGGAGGAGAATAGAGAGGGAAGGGAGGGGCTTCGAGGAAGTGGTGGGGCAGTAGATCTTGGCTTGTTCTGTCATTTAAAAAGTGATCTTGGGTGTAAAAAGGTTGGAGACCGCTGCTCTAGACATTGCTTCGTCCTGCCATGAGGACAGGGGACTGGATTTGATGACCTCTCAAGGTCCCTTCCGGTTCTAGTATTGTATGATTCTCTGTGGATCTAAAGCAGCTTTCAGCATTTACTGAAATTTATTTTCTGGCATATTGTGAAATGTGGAATAGCTTGAATAGTCTGCAAAAACAAGGCAGCCAGAAAATTACTTAAATAGAAAGTACAAGCACACATGCCTACAAGACTGTATTCATGTGAATTAGGCCCCAAACAAAAGGACTATCTACATACTTTGTGAGGTAAAGAATTAAAAGCAAACAGCAAAAAGTTGCCTTAAGAGCACTATGATAGTGTGGCTAACATTTTCACATATAAGGGCCTAAAATTAAAGCACCTATGCCAGACTGTCCCTTCAGAGGTGAGCACCTGCCAGTCCCTTTTAACTTTTACACCCTGAAAACTTATGCCACGTACTGCTAGCTAAAGATTGATTTTTAGGAACTTAACTTCAGGCACCCATGTTTGAATTATGTGGCTAGTGTATAGTCAACCGATTGAATATCATGCAGTCTGAATCCAGGATTATTAAAATCTCCCTCCTAGCAAACAGTTATGTAATGTTTTTTCTTTGCAGGTGGCTTTGATGACAACTCTCCATTGAGCTCCGTTGAACGGTTTGATCCTCGCAATAATAAGTGGGAGTATGTAGCAGAACTTACAACCCCCAGGGGTGGAGTTGGCATAGCAACACTAATGGGTAAAATTTTTGCAGTTGGTGGGCATAATGGCAATGCATACCTCAACTCAGTGGAAGCCTTTGATCCAGTGATGAACAGGTAATTTTGAAATTAGCTTTGCTGATTTAGATGAAGACAGCTGCTGACGTATACAATGCAGAATTACTGCGTCCCTTAAATTATGTGTGGTTTTTGAGTAATTTTTCTCCTTTAGCCAAATATGCTTCTCCAGATAGGGGGGTAGCAAGAAATAATGTGGGGTTTGTTTTTATATATATAAAGCAAGCAATCCTGACTGAGAGCACAAGTCAATTTCCTATCCTCAATTAGATAACAGAAAGATATTTAATGCAAATGCTAGACTTCTAAAAATACTTTTAGGTAATTTAACAAGTGCTGTTTCATGTGGACTAAATTAATAAATCCAACAAAAATATTTAATCTAGTTACATTAATGGGTTTAAAGAATTCACTTTTCCCTGGGACCAGAGTTCAAGTTTAGATTGAGAGTCTGATTATAATGTAGTTAGTGATTTCAGCTCTCCTTTCTAGTAAGAGACTAATCTGAAACACCATACACTGGCACATTAGGCCCAGTCTTGAGTCTCTCCCATGGTATTAGCAGTTGTGAGTTAAGCCATATGTCATTGAAAGGTTAACTTTTCTGTAACTTTTCATTCGTCTCCAATTTGACCTACATCCTTAGTGGTCACCATTAATAGACAAAGCTATTGCTTAAAAAAAGTTGAATAATGAGATGATTTTATGAAAATCTATGGCCTGGATGGCTCTAATCTTTGTGAAGGCTATGATCTTCCATCTAAACAGATGATCTTTCCCCTCCCTTTGAATAAGGGCACGTCTTCACTCGTCATACTGGAGGTTGACCTTCTGGTGTTTAATTTAGCCGATCTAGTTAAAATCCGTAAATAGACCACTGAGGGTAGCTTCAGAGGGCACCTGTACTTCTCATAGTTGCTCCGGTCAATCTCTTGCTGTGTCAAACTCAGCTTAAAGTAAACTGTCTCCAGCTACAAAGTAGAAAGGGCCCTATTTAAATGCTCTTGTTCTGGGATTTTTAATTTCAATATGTATTTAAGAGTAAACACTTACCTTTTCCTTGATATGCAGATTAATCTGCCTGTCCCTCCCATTTTCCAGTCTCTGTCTTTTTCTCACTTACCAGTTCATATCTCCCATCTCCTTGCTGAGTTAAAGGAAGCTTTTCTGATCAGAGTACAAGTTGGACCTTCCTGGTCCAGCACCGTTGGGACCTGACTAGTCTTGAACCAGGGAGTTTGCTAAACTAGGAGAGGTCAACTTTGGCCCCTTTCCTGCTAGCCTCTAGACTCGGGCTCTGCTCCACGCTGCTGAGTTCTAGCCCCCACCCACAAGTCCCAGGACTCCACTCACAGCTGCTGACTCAGCAACATCCATGCTCCTGCTGTCAGTTTTTTCCTGTGAGTAATCCAAGCCTGGATGCTGGTCCATGCATGTTGCAAGACTAGAGAGATTCAACGTGTACTATAAATAAGATCACTAATGTAAGGTAAAACTGAATTAATATAATTACGTTACTAGCCTAATGTCATTACTTCTTCTTGCCTGAGAGACTACTTTCCAAGGAGACAACTGGCAGGGAAATTACACACAACTCCCTAGGGTCTCAGTATGTGGTTGGCTGCAGAAAAGAGGGAAGCACTTGATAGGTACAACAATTAAGTGCATTCTTCAAATCTTGGTCACATTTATGTAAATGAAAGTTTAAATTAATGTTTTTCCATAGAAGTATACAATGTAAACATTATCTCTCCTATGGAGAATTTATCTTTTATTATGATATTGGTTGGAGAGAACTTTGAGGGAAAAACTAACTTTTCCCCTTTTCTTTTTGCTTTATTGTTCTTCCTAGGTGGGACCTTGTTGGATCTGTTTCTCACTGCAGAGCTGGAGCAGGAGTAGCTGTATGTTCTTGTCTTATTAGTCAGATCCGTGATGTTGGTCAGGGATCCAGCAATGTGGTTGATTGTATGTGAACTGATTCAAGCCTTCAGCAACCCCCCAGGATGGAGTGACATGACCACAAGAGCATTGCTCTGAGGTTTTTAATCATATGACATGGTTTAAAAAATACTGATTGCATCTTAGATGTGATAACTTGATGATTAATTTAGGATTCAGCTTTTCACAATTTTCTAAAGTGTATCTCCTTCAGAAAAGCCTAGGTTCATATGAAATAAGGACTGTAGTTTGAAAACCGATATCTCCTAGTAACTTTTCTAAACTAACTTCAGAAATTAACAAACATTTGAGGACATTAATCTGAAGCATTTATAATTAATAAAGTGGATATGGTCTGTGGTGAAAGAGCTGCACTTTGAATTGTTAAACTACCTCCCCCTAATCTGCAAAAAGAAATCTGAGATATGCACTCTGTATATGTAATATGTACACTCTGACAGAGCCTTAAAAAGAAAAAGTCCAGTTTGTAGCACTTTAGACAGGAATAAAGCATATCAATGCTTTGGAGATTCATTTCCCTATTGTACACCTGAGGAAACTCAGGTTCATTACCCATCAGAGGAGTTGAATGGCAGGTGCTCAGCATTTTTGAAAAGCAAAGTAATTGTTACAAGATGGAAATAAAGTCCACAACTCTGATCTGCTTCTGTGGGATTTAGCCACTAGATCATGTTTCCTCTTAATTCGGTGAAACCTACAATAGGAAACTCCTTAAGAATAAAAGCCTGTGAGAGGCTTCCTGTATAATTTTGTGTTTTAATAGAAATGGTTTGCCTAGATAGGCACAGTTTACTGGTCCTTTATTACACTCTAATTACTATATTCTTGGAAAAAGGAATGCACAATGAGAAAAATTACAATAAAAAAAAAATCTGCCTTTTTCTAAATGTAACTTTTAGTGACTTACATGTTCAGTATTGGTTAACCGAGTGATATAAGCTAGGCCAGGAAAATATAAATGTTACTGGTTTCAGCTACAAACATGCAGTCTTGTAGACTGTTTTAGTTTGAGACCCAGAATGAAACAAATCTTCAAATGAAGAATCATGGCAGCTGTTGGAATCTAAAGTCACTTTAAATAAACATTAGTATCAACAAAAATTATATATCAGGGGATTAATAGTCTTTCCTATATAGATTAATAGTCTTTTGTATATGGGTTTTGTTTGCCACATGCAGTGACACATTCTAATTAAAAAAATAAATTGTGCTATCTTTCAACAGTATGGCATTTGAAAGACCAGGAATCTATTACAGTAAAACTCCAATTGTCCGGCACTCCTGATACTCCAGCATCAAAATGGCAAGTGCTCCCGGCCAGCTGATTGAAAAGCCGGCTGCTCAGTGCACATGCCGGCTGTACTGGGACCGAGCATAAGGTTGCGGGGTGGAGTGGGATCGGGTTACAGCAGGGAAGAGAAGTGTTTTGCTCCAGGGAAGGGGAGGGGGAGGAGGATTGGGTTACGCAGGGAATCCCAGCCAGCTGATTGAAAAGATGTGCAGCTGTACTGGGACCCAAGCATAAGGTTGGGGGGCTGATTGGGTTGGTACTCCAGCATATCCGATAATCTGGCACCACCTAGGTCCCAAAGGTGCCGGATTATCAGAAGTCTACTGTATTAAGCTATTAACCATCTATATTCAATGTATGCTTTGTACATATTTATTTAAAATTTCTATTTGTAACTTTGTGTTTGGGGACCTTTCAGGCTTTTCAAGTTCATTACCTCAACCATTAGTTTAATAACAGGATTCCTGTATGTGAAACTAAGAAGTTCCTAGGAATCTTTTACATCTTGTCTAAGAGCTTGCCTTTGTCTGAATAGCTATTCAACTGTCTTCATTTTGATGATGGATTTGCAGTTAAGGTATAAGCAACTGCCTTTAATAAGTCTGACTATCTGATTTTAACTTGACAGGACGCACTTGTTTAAAACTTGAATTGCCTCAGCAAATGTTTAGCAATTTTAAAAAGTATTCTTTCCTAGTTTTAATCTATTGGAATTGTATTTTGATTACCCCTTGCTAGACTATCTAAAACCTTCGTCATTTATTTCCTCTTGGTCGGTACTATATACCAAATTAAAATACTGACGAGGGAATGATCTTGCCTTCTAAACAATTGTAATAGTATCCATATAACCTGGCAGAAAAACAAATCAGCGGGTAAAGGAAAAAATGTAAGCACCGCATTCTACAGAGAGATTTTTACATATATGTGGAAAACCTCAAAATCAAGAGCTACTTCAGCAGAAGACAACAGATTTTCACAAACCTGAATTTTCTTGACAAGATCAACAGTTTACAGTTTTCTTAAGTTCAGTGTTTGGTATTGAAATACTAGTAGAGACTGTGGGACTGGAACAAAATAGGGGAATGAAAATCCTATATTTCTTGAAGAAATATTTATTAACTAGAAATAATATGTATGTTTAGTACCATGCTAGGAAAGTTGTTAGCTTTACCAGAGATCCTAAAGCACACACATCACAGCTTTAGTATTTCACTGTCACATTTTACAATTGTTTTTTGTTTCAAAATTATTGTAGTATGGATATTCAGTGGACAAAATACAGAATGGACTGGTATTACACTGAAATATATGGAGGTTGTAATAAAATTAATAATATTCTAATTCTGAGCATAAATGGGACTTATCATAAGGATAGCTGTTAACCACTGCAAGTATTTATTGGGTTTATTTTTGGCGCCGTTCTTCCTTCTCCATGCATTCAGCCTTCAGCACACCTAAACAATTAGGTATCTGTAAAAGGTGAAGTAATATTCTCTGCATCTAAGATGACATGCCTCAAGAATTAAAGCACAGAGCTGGAGAAGGTTGGCTTCACATCAAACCCTAGACTATGGGCTGTAGCATTACTACTGTGGTAATGAATACAAATTCTAGGTTAAGTGGATCTTTGTAAGGTAGCTTTGTAGTCCTCATCTGTGTGCTTGCCTTGCACTACCCCACTGCTAAAGAGGGCTTTTATAGACTCGCTACATCAGGGGTGGACAATAATTTTTTTATGGGGAGCCACTCAAAGATTTTGGAAAGTGGTCAAGGGCCACACTCTTCAAGGATATTATGGAGGAGGCGCCAGGTCTGGGATGGAGGTTGGGAGCAGAGGGGATCTTGGTGTAAAGGATTGGGATGCAGGAGAGAGAAGAGAGTCTGGGACGCATTTGGGTGAAGGAGGCAGTTGGGACCTAGGACACAGAACTGGGATGCAGGATTTTGGGATGTGACCTAGGCGAAGGAGGGGATTGCAATCTGGGGTAGGGGATTGGGGTGCCAGATCTGGGAGGAGATATGGGTGCAGGAGGGAGCAGAAGGTTTGAGTATGAGAGGGTTGAGGAAGGGAGGGACTAGGGTGCCAGAGCTAGGCTCTGGCTGAAGGTTGCTTGCTGTTCCACATGGCTCCGCTCCATGTTGTGCTTAAAAGAAGCACACAGGATCTTTTTTGGGGGATAAGGCAACATGCCACATTTATTAAGCGTACATAGATCAATCAATACTTTATCATATGCATATGATGCACTCACACACAAGCACACTCCGTCTTGCTGTTACCAATAGTTGCTCCCCCTAACTACACTGGGAGAGGGGTGGAACTGGACTTCTGCTGATCCGGATCGATGCTCCTATGTTGACAAGATGAAAACCGGGGTTCCTCTCAAGATGCCTCATATTTATCCCTTTCATGCAGCCAGTTAGTCATCTCCTTGCCTTTTTTAATGCTGCTTCAAAAAGGATCCTTCCAAGGGCAGGCACTTGTTGCTTGATTCCCAAGGAGGTCTATATGTCCAGTACTTTAAAGACTAACAAGATGGTTTATTAATTGATGAGCTTTCATGGGCCAGACCCACTTCCTCAGATCAAATATTGGAAGAAAATTGGCACGACCATATATACCAAAGGATACAATCAAAAAAATGAACACACATGAAAAGGACAAATCAAATTTCAGAACAGAACGGGGATGGGGGCGGGAGGTAAATGTGTGAGCTAATGATATTAGAGGTGATAATTGGGAAAGCTATCTTTGTAATGGGTAAGGTAATTAGCATCCTTGTTAAGACCTAGGTGTAAAGTGTCAAATTTAAGCATGAATGACAGTTCAGAGGATTCCCTTTCAAGTCTGGTGTTAAAAGGTCTTTGAAGCAGCATGCAGGTAATCAGGTCATTGAGACAATGCCCTTTCTGGTTGAAATGGCAAGAAACTGTTTTTTCTTTGTGATCCTGTCTAATATCTGTTTTGTGTACATTGATTCTTTGGCAAAGTGTCTGAGACGTTTGTCCAATGTACATAGCAGATGGACATTGTTGGCACAAGATAGCATAAATTGTATTTCCCCCATTCCCCTTCTGTTCTGAAATTTGATTTGTCCTTTTCATGTGTGTTCATTTTTTTGATTGTATCCTTTGGTATATATGGTCGTGCCAATTTTCTTCCAATATTTGATCTGAGGAAGTGGGTCTGGCCCATGAAAGCTCATCAATTAATAAACCATCTTGTTAGTCTTTAAAGTACTGGACATATAGACCTCCTTGGGAATCAAGCAACAAGTGCCTGCCCTTGGAAGGATCCTTTTTGAAGCAGCATTAAAAAAGGCAAGGAGATGACTAACTGGCTGCATGAAAGGGATAAATATGAGGCATCTTGAGAGGAACCCCGGTTTTCATCTTGTCAACATAGGAGCATCGATCCGGATCAGCAGAAGTCCAGTTCCAATATGTCCCGTGTTCTTTTCAATGAGCTCAGTTCACAGGTCTTATTGTCCTTGGATCTTTCTCCCAGCCTCTCTTCACCCTTGCAACTGCTGCTGGAGGTGCTCACCTTTCATGCCTTCTCCATTCACACCTCACTTGTTTCAACAGGTCAATCAATGAAAGGGGAGAGAACTATTCTACTCCTAGAAAAAGACATTTTCTTTACCTTAACTATTCCTAAAAGCCTATAACATAAAAGGCTTGGTACAAAGTTTCTAAGGAAAAGACTGGATACAAGGTTTCTCTTAATACAAGGGATTCTATAAGAAGGCTTAACACAAAGATATAAAAGGACTTACAAAGTTTCTCTTAATACAAAGTTATATGAGAATGATACATGATTATATCGAAATGTTACAGAGATTTATCCACATTGTCCTCCTTTTGACCTCTCAAGAACAATTCTTGAGTGGTCAACATTTAAATTTTATGGATCTGTTTTAAAGCTACATCCTGGGTCATGATCTCAATCCATGGTTTCAATTTAAAATACATTTGTTTCATCCAAAAGCACATGAAGAGCATTAGAGCCAGCATAAGGGCCAAGATTATTACTAAAATAATAATGGGATGGAAGGTTATATTCAAAAATTCTGACCAGTTAGGGGACCAACCTTTAAACACATCATACCAATGATGAATACTTAATTATTTTGCCTGGTCAGCCACCTTAAGTATTTCGTCTCCCTCATGGAGGCTGGCCAAACTTCTGGTTTGGATTGTCCTTCAAGTGGTTTTTGTTAATTTACTAATTTGTTCATTATTATAAGTCTACCCATATAGGCCTGTCCAATTAATACACAAAGAGAAATCAGGATTGAGGTCCATCAGATCTGAGGTTTCTATATGAATTTGTTTTTCTTTGTGTATTGGGAAATAGTAAACCAGTTTAGAAGTCTGGAGACTTACCCCAAAAATATTCTCACTGGAGACCTCCCAGGGTTACACAAGCATGGGTTTATTTCCACTAGGTAAAACTAAAGAGGAGAAAGCAGCCACCAAAGGTTTAAGCTAAAGAAGCTAGATCTCTCCGCACACAGAGGCAAGCAAGCAAGCATACACCCCTCCATTCATTCACACCCATTCATTTCTGCCCTCAGGCACTCACACACTTACACAGACATATAGGTTGCAGAAGGAGCATGTGGATTCTGGAGGGTCTGTCTGCTCATCATGGCTGGGGAAGCTGGTCAGGTGGAGAGAAGCTTCTCAGGAGCAGGGGAAGGAAAAATAGAGGGTCTCACATGCTTCTTCTCTTGCTATAGTGTCTGAATGGCTCCTGTGACTCATTCACCTCGTAATCAGGGAGCATGCCCAGACTTCCCTTTATCCAGCAGGAAGCATGCCCAGACTGTGATGACTCATTGAAATGTGCTCCATTGTTCCAAGCCTTCTTCCATCACACGAAAGTTACAAGCAAGCTGGCTGAGAGTTACAAAGATCACAAAATTGCAGCTTACAGTACATTTCTGAGAGTTACACAGAGTTTGACACAGATCACAATAGGTTGCAGTTTTAGACCTTACAGTTTGGTGTAGCCTTAGAATATCTCTGTATATAAATCAAGTAAGCTCAGGCAAAGGCTTTTTTATGCAACAGAGACATTACACTTTTGGACTGGGGATTGAATGAAACTTGTTTTGCCATGTTTCAGGCTAAAATCCCACAACACACACAATTTCTTCCATTAAAATACATCTTGGGGTGGAATTATCCATTTAATCCCAAAAACATGTAGCTAATGATCTGCTCTGGAGGGAGCATGGTTCCTCCAAGATAGGAGGAGCGGGGCATCCCTTTACTATTCATGTAAGTCCCAGCTAGCCTGGGAAGCCAAATATGTTTTCCTTGAATTACTGGCAGTGCTGAGAATGGCCAAATCAACATAATTGCATCCTGGGTGCTCAGCACCTGGACAGAAATGCTCCTGCTCAGTTGCTGTACATTAAGGAAATAATGTGACAATACCATCCAGCAAGGGATGGCACAAATAAGTTACTTTGATGTTGTGTCAATAGAGGGGCCCTCTAGCCCTCCCGAGCCCTCACAAAATCCATTTCCCTCTCCATTAGCACCACAGAGCCAGGGCCGTTTTACCTGCAATGGCTCTCATTGTGGCATATTCTGCCCAGAAGGGTGGTTTGTGTGTTGCCAGGTATCGCAGTGTAAATCTACAGTACCTATACTTGTTTGAACCAACTGAGCAATTTGATGTTCTTGCCCTTCGGTTATTGAATAGTGAAGGGTTTCAATGGCACTAAATTTGTTTCTTAGTACTTCAAGGTCTATGGAGTTCAGGACACCGGTCCCGGTTCCTATCCCCCCAAAACAGTGGCCACTATACTCTGAGTCTTTCTTGGAATATGTTCTTGCAATAATGACTGATACCATGCATCAAATATGAGGGAACTGTATGGGGCACACTCAGGCTTAACCCAAGCCAGGTCATTCTTATCGTGATATGTAGAGTACAGATCATGGGGGGGGAGGGGGCCACTTGCACCTGAATACAGGGTTGCCTTCGGAGTAAGTGGGGAAATTTCACAGTCTCTGGATCTGGGCCATTTATAATCCAAAAGGTTGCAGTCCCAACAAACATTGTTTCATTCACCCAGATTGTTGTTTTTCTAGTCTTTGTCAGCTCCGGTTTAAAAGGGGGGGGTAGTAATTTTTTCAATTAAAGTTGCGTTAGCATGTCGGGTTTAGCTACGCTTTCCATGGCAGCGACTCTGTTTATCAAGATGAGAGTCCAGCACTGATCCATGTGAATATGTGAGATTTCCTCCAAGCACTTTCCCTGACAGGGAAAGGGCGTGTGGGTGGGGGGGGGGGGGAGCTGGCCCTGTCGGGTTCAAAAGATT